GAGGCATCGCCGCCGCAGTCGTCGTTCGGGCGGTTCGAAGGGCCGAAAGGGTCGCTCCCGGTCTGGGGGTCGGCGCCGAAGGCGTTCCCATTCGAAGGGAAGAAGTGGTGGCCGACGAAGAAGGAGAAGGAGATCGCACTCCGGAGGAGAGGAGTGAAGTGTCGTTCCCTCTTCATCAAGGCTTCAAACCCAAAGACTTTTATCAAAATTATGTTTCAAATGATTTATTCGTAAATAAAACTCTTTTCTAAAAGAAATTCAGTTTTCGTTTATTTAGTATAAGATTTGAATTATAAATAACCAAAGAATAGCTCAAAATATACCAGAATTTGAGTGAAACCATTGATATATTCTTCAGTGGTTTTAGAGATAATGGGTTTTCTGTTAAAGAATTTCTACGAAAAGCGTTGAAAAGAGAAATTCCGTTCATTTCACCGAAAATTCATTAGATTTGAATCAATCACTGATTGGCGACCGGGATGTCGGACCCCAACCACGACAGCGATGACAACGACGATATAATATGCGATTCAGACATCGAGATGAGTCTCAGTACGGAAGAGGCGAAGCCGAGGTTCGCTCAGGAGTTTGTGTACAAAGTGCTGACCATCGATGAGATACAGAAGCAAATGCACGGTTGCATCGAAGAGATCAAAGCCGTCATACAGTTGTCTTCCGATGACATCAAAGCCCACGACTTGTTTGGCTTAGACTGCGATCACCTCTTCTGCACTCATTGTTGGACGCAATACCTGACCACTAAAATCATGTCTTCGGGCGACGTGATGGCCATCACCTGTCCGGACACCGACTGCAAAGTGGTGGTCGACGAGGAGCAGGTGCTGCAACTGATCACCGACTCCTACGTGTCGTCCAATCGGCTGCTGAGATGGTGTCCCCGTCCGAGAAGATCGACGGAAAGACCGCCAATTGGATCATCACTAACACCAAGGAGTGTCCCAAATGCCGGACCACTATCGAGAAGAACGGCTGCAATCACATGACCTGTCGGTCCGTCAAATGCAAGTACCAGTTCTGTTGGGTGTGTCTGGACGGGTGGTCAACGCACGGCACCTCCTATTATAACTGCAATAAGTATAACGACAGCAAAGCCAAGGATAGGAAAGACAGTGTCAGGACATGCAGGACAGGTATCACATGAGTTGGGTGGAGGTGCAGTTCATGGAGCGGGCGGTGGAGGTGTTGTGCAGCTGTAGGCAGACCCTGATGTACACCTATGTGTTCGCCGCATACAACGATAGGACCCCTCAGATCGACATCTTTGATGACAACCAGAGATCTGCAGAAAGCGGTCGAAACGCTCTCCGAATACTTGAAGCGCGAGATCGACGCCGAAGAGGACAACCGTAACATCAGATCCCAAGTCTTGCATTCATTGAATTACTGCCAAAATCGACGCAAAGCTCTCATCAATCATATCTCGGAAGGCAATGAGAAGGAGTGGTGGAAGTATAGCTTCGACTGACATACGACTGTCCACTCAAACATTCATTTTTGACAAATACATCGAAATTCTTGTTATTTTCCATTTTAAGTCTTAATTATGTTTAACATGTCGTAAGAAATGTGTTTAATTTACTGTTAAATACTTTATAGTAAGTACTGCTTAGAAGTTTATGACTTGAAATTCATTGTTTAGTTGACTTGTATTGAGTTGACATGAATTTTAATTAGACAAATAATTATTAGAAAACTCACCAATTCAATAAACAAATAAATTGTGCTTAAATTTGTAGTCAGAGATCAATAGCCAGACAAAACTATTGTCATTAAATCCAAATTTATTGAAAATCTTACTATTTTAGCAATTCATACAATCAAAATCTAGTATATAATTTGTATAGTAGTTAAGTTTGTCACGAATTAGTAATTAAATTTACATTAGATTTGCATTGAATACTAAATTAAAACAATTCTTATGACAAAGTGGTGTTTAACTAAAATATAAATTTTGTTGCTTTAAAAAATGCTACAAAACTATTGAAAAATTATTAAATGCAATACTTTCCAATCAACTAAATAGTAATTTAAATGTTCAGTTTGTCGATAAATGTTAATTAAAACTTGTTTAATTAAAACACCTACTTTAAACATAAACATAATTAAACATAATTGCCTATTAAGTGGTAAATATCGAGGTAAACACAACTTTATACAGTAAAACAATTTCTAATCACATTTATCAATAAATCATAGATCTATAAAAATCTAATTTATCATTTTAGCTCATTAACTCATACATTAAATTTAAATAAATATTTTTATTCAAATAAATAACAAAAAATAAACTCAAAAAACAATAGATAAAAATGAATTATAAATAGAAAAACAATTTGGTATTGAATGCGATGAAAGAAATTGTGTTTAAGTTTGTGACCGAAAAAACTTTTGGATAAAAATGGTTTTGAATTACATTTTATGGATCTTATGGTCAATTTGTCGATCGCATTGAACCGATGTTACTGCCCGTCGCTGATAAGCTACTGGCGCCCGATATTTTCGATCCGCTTTTAGATCGAGAGGCCGATCCAGTCTTAGATCCGGTGGCGGCGCCCGTCTTGGGTCCAGCCTTTGAGCCACTCTTTGAGCCCATACTTGAGCCCACTTTGGATCCGGCGGTCGACTTCGCCGGCATCTGAGAGCGCGTAGACATCGTCGACGGACTCGACCCCATGTTGGAGCCCACGCTCATCCCTCCGGCCTCCGCACCGCCACCACCGCCGGCACTCTTATCATCGCTTCCGCTCGACTTCTTTCTCATCATTAAACAGACGATGAGTACGATTGCGACGAAAATAATGGCCACAATTATGATGATTATCCACCACAAGGACCCACCAGAGGGTTCATCCGTAGTCTGGTTCTCGTTTTGAGCCACCGGTTCGTTCTGATGGCTGGCAGCGGCCGTGACGGGTGGCGGGGGTTCAGTACCACCACTACTAACACCACCACCACTATCACCACCACCTATGGGGCCGATGGTGATGGCCGGGGCCGCTGTTTGTGTGGCTTTGTCACCGGTTCCGATGTCTTCGAGCTTATAGTTGCCTTTGAAATGGAAGAACTCTTTTCCGACACCCATTTGGGAGCTCTTAATGGCCTTCATTTTGCCGCTCTGTTCGTTGAAGTGGACTATCTTTAGGTCCCAATACGAGCCCTCATTGCCTCGGAGCCACAACCGGTTCGGCTCCGACTTCTTCTCCGTGAGCGCGTCCTTCCCTGGAAGTCGATGTCGTTGGACGAGGACTCGATCAACACTTTGGAGGACCCGCCGGGGGTGCAGAGGGGCCTCAGGTCGAGCACTGTATACCTATTGGTCTGAGAGACCACTTTGTCGGCCTTGAAGTCGACGGGAGGCGTCCACATGAAGCGCCGCGTGTCGTATGTCATGCTCTTCATGCCCTCGGGGGTCACCTCAATGAGGTGCACCTCCTGCTCGTTGCCACCCTTTCCGTCGCACACCACCTTATAATCACTGCCTTAAGTATCAGTCTCAGACATGACGGCTATTATGGGTAACAGTTGTTGATTGATATGTCTTGTGATTTACTTCTTGAGAATCAGTGAAACTTTTTTCTGTTAATGAATTTTTTGTATTCAATTTACAGTTTTGTGTGACTTTTGAATGAAGTGTCGCGCGATTCCTGCCAAGTCTTACAAGTAGTCTATTGTTAGGCACTAATACTATTGATAATTTAGTTTTAGTTAATTATTTAATATTTATAAACTCATTGAATACAGACATTAAGTATAAAACTTTAAACAACTAAAATATTGAATCAGTTTTGTTATTATGCATGGCTTTAATGAATGACTGAATGATTAACTTATAAAAGACTAACAAAAAAAGTTACGAAAAAAGTTTATTATTTTAATATTGTATCAGATCTTAAAAAAGTTACTAAGGTGATAATAGAGTAGTTTTTGTATAAAAAAGATTTTTATTGTATTTATTTAAATAAAATTAATTACAATTCAATGAAAAGAATATTTTGTGACCAAAAAACTGAAATAAAGTTTTAATTTAATTAACGATAAAATAGTGATAATTTTATTGCATTTTTAGCACACATTTTATTGCCTTTGATTTGGTGTAAACATTGACTAATTCATTGTGAATTGGTTTCAAACAATTGAATTATTATTACAATATGTTTGCATTCGTTTGCAAAACTTTTATTCAAGAATTGTTTGCCAATTATATATACAAACCATAGAAAACCATTGAAATTCTGTAACAAATAATAAATCATTTAATGTTTCGTGCGTTTAATATACCGTAAATAGATTTGCTTTCAAACTTAAATTGATGTCATTTATACCAATAATAATTAATTAATAATTTAACACACAATCAGTGCATAGATTTGCATCAAAACCATTCAAATACTGCATTCAATAGTCTTATAATTAAATCTATATTTGATTCAATAGTTAATTTAAATATAAGTTAAGTTATATCTAAGTTCAACTGTATGTCGTGATTGTATTGCATGGTGACAATAACCGGGGTATTAAGTGCTCACAAAATATTGCCCTAATTTATATAACGCTAATTGTAATTATCTTAAGAAATATCGCAAAAACAGTTCAAATCAATGCTTAAGAGCCCTCTGGAAGTAAAACCTCATAATCTTATCGGTGACTAAAACGCTAACTAAACCGACAATCGGTATAAACATGAACTGAACGAAGGATTTGGCGTAAAAGGCGTGGATGTCGTCGCCGAACGTCGGCTCCGGTCGACTGTAGTTCACGTAAATCACGACCGCGACGGTCGACACAACCGTATTGACAACTCTTAGGTTATAGTTATGGTTATTCCTCGCGAGCGATAAGTATTTGCTTTTGTCCACAAGAGTTAGTATGAGCTGAAACGCCAAACCTATGCCCACAGCAGCGCCGGAAGTCCTCCAAACGACGTACAGAGGGCTGGTGTCGGCCTTAACGCCATTCATGTCGAAGCAGTACTTCTTCGCCAACTTCAACGACCAGTCGGCGCCGTTGTGTCCACCGAATCGGTTCAACAACTCGTGGAGCCCGTAGGCGATGGCCACTAAACAGCCGGATATCGCCAGATGTCCCACAAAACTGATGCGATTAATGTCTACAGACTTCTCGATGATGACGGCCACGACTATACCCACAATGAGACCCACGAGACACTGGTCCGGAAAGTGGGCCGATATGTAGATCCGTCCCAACGATACCAACATTAGTGTCGTTATGAACGCGATTCTCATGAGTAGCCGCTGGCGCCGGGATGTTATGATTTTGTGTTTAATCAATTGAATGATTAGTGAGAACCAGACGGCGGCCGAACACATGACGTGTCCGGACGGGAATCCCGGCCCCGATTCGCCTATAATTACGGTGTGTTTTAGATATTGGGCTTAACTTTTGGGTTAA